AAAAAATTGTACTATAAAATATTATTGTTTTATTAAGAGATAACACCAGTTATGAATTTATACAAGTTATGAATTCAATGTGTGCAAAATTGTTATGAGATAACACTAGTTGAATTTGTTGCTAAAATTTCTTCTTTGATTTTTTATTGCTTGAATTTCTGCTTGATTTTTACAAAATTTTCAGCACAAGTTAATAAAATAATTTAATTTTCTACTTAATTAGGATTTTTGTGGCCTTTGTTATGAATAATTTTTTTCTAATTTGTTATTTACATTTGTAGAGGTATGGATAAAGAAATATCGAGTGAATCAAATAAGGACCGTTGACGAAATGATTTGAGACTGAAATAGAAGACACCAAAAAATGTAGAAGTTTGAAATTGAGGATCCTAAAGTGGGAATGACATTTAAGTCAATTGATGAAATTTATGAATATTATTCAAGATATGGGAAGAGAAATGGTTTTGCGGTGTCGAAGAAATATTGTAAAAGGGGAGATGATGGGGAGAAAAAAATATGTAACTATTGGCTTGTACTCGTGCTAGAAAAACAAAAATTAAAACAAGCAAATAGTTAAACTACGCCCACAAACTAAAACAGCGATGCAAAGCTGGACTTAATGCAAATTTACAAGGCGATGGAATGTGGATAGTGCGATCCTTAAGACTTGAGCATAACCATGAAATGAGTCCAAGCAAATCTCGTTTTTTCAAGCAAAATAAGATTCTTGAATCACATGTTCAAAGGAGACTTGAATTAAATGATAGTGCAGGAATTAGGATGAACAAAAATTTTACTTCACTTGTCCTTGAAGCTAGAGGGCATGAGAAGTTGTCATATTTTGAGAAAGATTGTAGGAATTATATGGACAAAGTTCGCCGTTTGAAACTTGAGAAAGGAGATGCCAGTGCAATGTATGATTATTTTGTGAAATGCAAGCTGATAATTCAGAATTTTTTTATGTCCTGGATTTGGATGAAGACAGCAAATTACTAAATGTATTTGGCTGATGCAAGGAGTAGGGCTGCATTTAAAGAGTTTGGCGATGTGGTTACATTTGACACGACGTACTTGGTAAATAAGTATGATAATGCCCTTTGCCCCATTTATTGGGGTTAACCATCATGAACAGTCGACATTGTTAGGTTGTGGACTCATTCACATGAAAATACATAAATATTTACCTGGTTGTTAAGTCTTGGCTTGCATGCATGTCTGGATGTCCTCCAAATGCTATTATTACAGATCAAGATAAAGCTATGAAAAATAGCTATACAAATTGTTTTCCCAATGGT